CTTGTTTGCTTCCGGCGATGAGCCCACAAGTGAGGATACATACTTGTTCCTTACCAGATCCGGCTTGGTATCAATCACAGCCAAAGAGGCACCAAGGAAGGAACATCTAGATTCACTGTCGCTCCAGTTCCTTTTGTCTTCTGATTTATAATAGCATTTCCCTAGGTACCCAACCCAGCGATCTGGGCAGGCAGCATCGACAGGGGGAGGACACAGCGGACAGGGCTGTGGCTTTTTAACTGGAAATGAAACAATTTGCCCAAGTGTAAGAGCTCACAGTGATTCTGTAACACTGAGGACAGATGCTGGGAAACATTTGGGAATTGTAATATGGGTAGCAGTGAACTATAATTCCCAGGGTTCTTTTGGAAAAGCCATGATCTTTTCTTTCTTTCTTTTTAAAACAACTACTGCTATGTATGTTTATTGGGCAGGTAGATTTCGTGCCCGTACTAAAAGATTATATATTTGTACTGCTGTGGTTCACATTGCTTAGTGCAAATACAAATTTATTTTATTTAAATATTTTTTATTAATTTTTAGCATACACAATTTTAAAGACATACCACACAAGTTATTACACATATATCCTTACTGTATTTGGACTTCCTTCAGCACCTCTGATAATCCTTATTTCTCCTGCAATTCCTAACCTAATATTGCCTTTACCTTTTCTAACAAATCATTTCTCCCTTTCCATTTTTACAATATTTCTTAAATTACTCCTCACAGAACTTCTTGTAATCCTACAAACGTAATCTGATCATTGCAAATACATTTCAAATACTCTATAAATTTAGTCCAGTCTTCGGTAAACCTCTGGTCCTGGCAGTCTCGAATCCTTCCTGTTAAATACAAATTTGCAAATACAAATTTATGAGTGGAAAAATAGGATAAAAATATCACAGGAAGCTGCCCGGCACCGAGTCAGACCATCTAGCTCACTATTCTCAGTTAATATTTAATCTTTCAAGCATATAGCATGTCTTGCAGCAAAGCAGACCCCTCATTTATAACTTTAGTTTTAACTGATTTTTAATCAATTTGTTTTAAACTAATCTTTGCTATGTTGTGGAGAGCAGAGCTCGAGAGAATGCAGAGTTCATCTGTTGCCTGTTTTAAAGAATTTTATGGAGCAGGATGTTTCAGTGTTTTGGAGACAGCACATAAATCTCAAAGAACATCGAATCATATATCATTAGGGAGCCATTTTCCTCTCCTTTACTTCCTCGACTTTGCAAGAGGGGGGTTAGTGTTTTTCCATCAAAATTTCCAGAACTCAGCTGAATACCCTGTTCAGGGCTGTATTTAGGTTTGATGAGGCCCTAAGCTACTGAAGGTAATGGGGCCCTTTATATATCCAGCTGTCCTTTGTCAACAACAAATTGTCGCTGTTTATTCGTTTTGAATATATGCTATATAGTAATTTATGGACCTCATAGGTCCATACACAACAGAAAACACCGTTGCTGTATGTAGGTTTTATCTTATTTGTTTTTTATCTTATATTTTGGGGACGCGGGTGGCACTATGGGTTAAACCACAGAGCCTAGGACTTGCCGATCGGAAGGTCAGCGGTTCGAATCCCCGCAACGGGGTGAGCTCCCATTGCTTGGTCCCTGCTCCTGCCAACCTAGCAGTTCAAAAGCACGTCAACGTGCAAGTAGATAAATAGGTACCGCTCCGGTGGGATGGTAAACAGCATTTCCGTGCGCTGCTCTGGTTCACCAGAAGCGGCTTAGTCATGCTGGCCACATGACCCAGAGGGTGGACGCCGGCTCCCTCGGCCAATAAAGCGAGATGAGCGCCGCAACCCTAGAGTCGGCCACAACTGGACCTAACGGTCAGGAGTCCCTTTACCTTTATCTTATATTTTGGAAATGTACACCCAGTTTTTTCCCCTTTAAATTTTTTTGGGGCCCACAAGAGAGTGGCGCCCTAAGCTACATCTTGTTTGGCTTATACGTAAATCCGGCACTTGACCCTATTAGAAGAGTTTTTTAAATAAATAAATAACTACACATTAAGGCTGAGAAATCCATTCTCACGATGGTGCTTACTGAAGTGCAGACACGACGGGCCTACCTCAATTCAACTGCAGCCTGAGAATGTACTCTAAAGCAGAAATCTATACAGTGGTACCTTTGGTTACGAACTTAATTAGTTCCAGAGGTCCATTCTTATCCTGAAACCGTTCTTAACCTGAGGTACCACTTTAGCTAATGGGGCCTCCTGCTGCCACTGTGCGATTTCTGTTCTCATCCTGAGGTAAAGTTCTTAACCCGAGGTACTATTTCTGGGTTAGCGGAGTCTGTAACCTGAAGTGTTTGTAACCCGAGGTACCACTGTATTGGATTATTATGAGGCAGGAAATGCAGTTCGGTGAGGGAAGGAATCTACAAGTCAAAGGCAGAAAGAAGCAATAAATCATAAATAATTATGTCAGGGTTAAAGCACAAGGTTTTCTCTACTCACCAGCCAATGCGATTATAGTAATGACCAAAGCTGTGATGACGGCAACAGCTGCTAATGTATATTTTTTGTCTTTAATGCACTTTGGGATGAAAACTGAAAAACAGAAGGGAAAGGGTCTGAGGCAGTGTTTCTCAACCTTGGGTCCCCAGATGTTGTTGGACTACAACTGCCATCATCCCTGAGCGCTGGCCTTGCTGGCTAGGGATGATGGGAGTTGTAGTTCAACAACATTTGGGGACCCAAGTGAATGATGATCACAAAAGCAAACAAATCAGTCTGTTTGTTGCTACAGTTCTGCGAGAATTTGACATTCAAGACAAGGCACTGCAAATTCATTCCAAACCACGACTTTAGGGTATGCCTGCCTTAGCTGCCTGCTTTCCATGAGATGTATTCTAAGACAGTCATCCCAAAACATCATGTGTTCTGGTGGTTGTTGGACTCCAAATTCCATCATACCTAACCACATGGCCAAAGGTCAGGGATGATGGGATTTGTAGTCCAAGAACATTACTATCCTAGAGCATTGGACTACAAATGAGATTGTTTTTAAAAAAGAGTAAAGTATAAGTATTTGATGGATGCACTGAGATACAACAAAATCCCGTAACGTTGGGAATACCCAGAGGGAGTATCTTTTATGTATAAAGGGAGAAAACAAAGGTGTCAGGATCCACAGAAGCAGATAAATTCTGGAGAAAATATGGGAAAGAGCTAGCAGGAGAAAGGGCATTTGGACTGGAACAGTACAGGAAGAGGTAGACTCAACAGAGGTCAAAGTGAAAGAAAAATAAATAAAAACAAGATGGCATTAAAAATCTTAACTTGGAATGTAAATTGACTTAATAACAAAACAAAATGAAGTAAAATTGAGCATGTAGCAAAGAAGTTACATTTGGACGTAATCTGCTTCTAAGAAACGCATATTGCTAAGAAACATAGAAGGATTTTGATTCATAAAAGGCTGGGGAAGGACTTTGTAACCTCTGACATAAGAAGAAGGGGAAAAAGAGGAGTTGTAATGTATATAAAGCAGAGTTGGACTCCAAGTAACTATTTAAAGACAAACAAGGAAGAATATGTAAAGCAGATAACACCACAGGTAGAAAAAATATTTTTAATTGGCGTATATGCGCCAAATGAGAAAAAAACCCAGATTTTTATAGGAGACTAGTTAATTGGGTTATACTGAAAAAGAAAAAAACAGCAAATTTATGGAACCACTGAAAGAGAGAGAGGGAAATTGAAGTTTGATATGTGAGAATTGTTTGGTTTTTAAAAATGTTTATTTGTTATAAATGAAAATATAAACAAACAAATGTTAATGCATTAAAGGAGCACACAAGGTCATCTTTATTTGGGTAGTTTTTCCTCTCAGGCCTGTCCCTAGGGGGAGAAATCAAGAGCGGGGCATGTGATTATGGAGGCTCAGGCAATCTATCTTCCTCCCTCCCCCTTCGCTTTCCTCTGTGGAGAAAGAGGTGATTCCCAGAAGAGGATTTCCCAAAAGATGGAAGACTGAAACAGGTCACATGCATACCATTCATTTAAAACACACGGGTTCCCCTAAATAATCCTGGGAACTGTAGCATGCTGAGAATTGCAGCTGTACGAGAGGATAAAGTACAGTTTCCAGGATTCTTTGGGGAAAGGCATGCAATTTTAAAATGCTTTAAATACCAGGGATGGTGGTGGAATTCACCCAACAAGTTCTGTCAGCAGAAGCCCTGCGCGAGGAAGAAGCAACATCGGTGTCAGAAGAGAAGCTCTGCAGCTCCAACCCAACCCAATGCACCACTAATGAAGTCTGCCTGTTCTTTCTTTGTGCTACTTCTTAGCAATGGTGAGTTGTCACCCCCCACATTTCTCTTTGACTGCCAGACCACAGTTCCATCTAAGCTGGTATAGTTTCTGCAAACTGGCAGGGACTCTCCCGCATGTCAAGCAAGAGGACTTTCCCTCAGCCCCATGCTGAAGAATCAGGCCAGGCCTCTTCAGAGGAAAAGCACAGCATATATACAATCAGAAAACACATCTACCAGCATTCCCTGCTTCCCTTGCAGCAGGTATCTCAGGAGTCATCAGTTCACTGTTGACAGTGGCTCTATCTGTAAAAGTAAGCATAAGTCATCAAGAACCAGTGTTATCTTCTCATCTGTGGCACCACATATGAAATCCCCCTCACCTTTTGTAATTGAATTAGGACAAAACTCCAGGTGCCAGCTGGGATGGAAGCATTTCTAGAATAGGACCAAAATTCAGTATACTATGGTAGGTTTGGGGCCAGTTCAGAAAATGACCTGGTGCCTAAGAACAGCAAAGACTCCCAGATTTTATGACTTGACTCAGGGATTTTACTACCTGTGTTGAGAAGTTTCAGGAGGTCCGAGTGGGTCTCAGATGGTCATAGGTTCTTGGAAAATGGCTCAATTAAGTTCTCAAAGCAATCTTGGGGAGTTTCTATACAATATACAGTCGTACCTTGGAAGTTGAACGGAATCTGTTCTGGAAGTCCGTTCGACTTCCAAAATATTCGGAAACCAAAGCACGGCTTCTGATTGGCTGCAGGAGCTCCCTGAAGCCAATCAGAAGCCACGCCGGATATTCGGCTTCCAAAAATTGTTCAGAAACTTGAACACTCACTTCCGGTTTTTGATCGTTCGGGAGCTGAAATGTACGCGTTCCAAGGCATTTGGCAACCAAGTTATGACTGTAAATAAATTGTAACAGAGAGCTACTGGGGCATCAAATGTATCTGAAAGGAAGTATCTTTTTCACCACACCCAGAATTAATCCTCTCTCCGATAAAACATTCTGGGATAGAAAGAGTTTCATCCCTTGGGTCAGTGAGAGAGGTTTGCCCTCAAGATTTTGCCCTGCCACCTCTAGTTCTCCACTGTGTGAAACAAACAAGATTATTATGCCTCACCTGTGATATCTTCTGCCATCTTGGGATCTTTCCATGCTGAGTACAGCAGCTCTCAACCTTCAGGGAAGACAAAGAGGTCCCTGTTACCAGCAGTGTTAATCAATCAACTTGGGTTTTGGTTTTTTAACCAAACATATTTATTGAAAGCTAAAAAGTACATAATTATATGTGCACTAAACATGGGATGCGGGTGGTGCTGTGGTGTAAACCACTGAGCCTAGGGCTTGCCAGTTGGAAGGTTGGCGATTCGAATCCCCACGACGGGGTGAGCTCCCGTTGCTTGGTCCCTGCTCCTGCCAATTTAGCAGTTTGAAAACACATCAAAGTGCAAGTAGCTCAATAGGTACCGATCTGGCATGAAGGTAAACGGCATTTCCGTGTGCTGCTCTGGTTTCACCAGAAGCGACTTAGTCATGCTGGCCACATGACCTGGAAAAACTGACTGTGGACAAACATCAGCTCCCTCAGCCAGTAAAGTGAGATGAGCACCACAACCCCAGAGTCGTTTGCGAATGGACTTAACTGTCAGGGGTCCTTTATCTTTTTAAACATGGTGATAGGTAAATAAAAGAGAGAAAAAGAAAAAGAAAACAGAACCCGTGTAGAAGGGAAAGTAAAGGGGGAAGAGGGGGACGACCCAAAACTGTATACTTTACAAAGTTGGTATTGTACTTCAGATCTTAACCTATTACAGTATTTGTAAGAATGGATTCCAAATATCATTGAATTTGTCCATGGCAAGTCTGCATTTATATGAAAGATGTTTACATGTTGCAAGTTTGTGTAAGTCTTCAATCGTAGAAGGGAGCTGCATTTTTATTTTTCCAATTCATCAGTATCAGACTTTTTGCTGTGCTAAGGGCACTGAGAGTCCACTCGTATTGTCCTTTTGTAAGGTACCATGCGCTGGGCATATAATTCAAAAGGATATTTTGCTCTGTAAATGTAAGGTGGTTCCATACAGTTCTGCTGATCGTTTCAGTTACCTTCTACCAAAATCTTTCAATATAGGACAATGAAAAAAAAAGTGTTTTAGAGAAGCATTATCCCTATTGCATCCCCAACAGTTAGATACCTTAGATAGCCCTTTTTTAAACAAACGTAATAGGGTCCAGTATATTCTAAATATTATTTTTTGTTTTATGAGCCTCAATTTAAGGTCCAGAGACACCCTTGTTGTTTAGGCACTTGTTGTTAAAGTGACTTTAGAGACTTAAGGTGAATGAAGTTATTTAACTAGACTCCTCAGGCAAATCCTGTATTTCGAATAACCTCCCTCATGTTTCCAGTGTTGCAACACAGCTTTTTAAGATATGCTGCCATTTTCACCATCCTGGCACAACCCACCTGCCAGTTTGGGTTTCTCTTAGTTTCTCACTTTTCTACTCTTCAGTTCTCCATGTCAGTTTGTGATTAAAAAAAAAAAGTCTGCATGAAAAGTACCTGTATTTTATTGCTGATTTCTCCTAATATATGACAAAATATGCAATGTTGCCTAATGTGCATTTTTGCTAAGCAATTTTCCCTAGTATAAAACATTATAAGTTATATTCATTAATATATGCATTTTTATGCACACTTTACTATATATATATATATATATACACACACACACACACACATACACATACACATTTCTGTATACATTACTCAACTGGACTGCAAAATTCAAAAATGTGCACATTTTGAAAGATGGCCTTTGCTTCAGTTCTTGCATTATTGCTTCAGAAAGTTGCTAGGTTTACCTTTAAAGGTGAACGGAGTCAAGTTTCTCCCCCATCCCTGCATGCCACTGATAATGCCAAGGTTGCGAGTTCGATTCCTGTATGGGATGGCTCCATATTCCTGCATCGCAGGGGGTTGGACTACATGACCCTCAGGATCCCTTCCAACTCTACATGCTTAAAAATGTCTTGGACATGTTCTTGCAAAGAGGACAGCTCCTGGACCAAGGCCTGCATTTCTGCAGGTAGAAAAGAGAAGGAAAAAGAGGAGGACAAAAAGAGAGAGGGAAGGGGGTGCTTGCCCCAACAGATGACCACTGACAGAATGTGGCCACAGAGACAGATTTGAAAAGTTGCCGATCCTTACCTTTGGCTGCAGAAGACTGTATGTTCCCTTTGGTCCTTGCACTCCAGTTCTGCAGGATCTGACTGGCAGCAGCTCACCGAGGTATCTCACGAAGGTCTTTCCCAGCACCGCCATAAGTCTTTTTAACTGGAGACGCCATGGTTTGAACCAGGTTCATCATGCATACAAAAGCTACAACGAAAGAACAAAATGAAAATGCTGAAAACGGTCTTGAAAACACTAAAGAACAATTGAAAGCATCTAAAAACATTTAACATATACTTTCTACCCTCTTTGGAAATAGGTTGGAAAGGAATAAATCAATCATTTTGTACGTCTAGAATCCAAAATGGTTGAGCAGAGGGGGAGGGGAGGGTTCAAAAACACTCCCTAAATCAGGCATAGGCAAACTCAGCCCTCCAGATGTTTTTGGAACTACAGTTCCCATCATCCCTGACCACTGGTCCTGTTAGCTAGGGATCATGGGAGTTGTAGTCCCAAAACTTCTGGAGGGCCAAGTTTGCCTATGCCTGCCCTACATGAAAAAGTTACTGGTGGGGGGGAGTGAAAGGCCCTGAGATGTGGGCAGAAATCCTTGCATGCTTACAGGTTGTTATTGTTTTCTTAAGGCTCTCAGCCATTGTGCATGAAGAAATATCCTTTCTAGAATACTTTCCATTCCATTCCCTCCTACTCTTTACTCTCTGGTGCTGAAGTCATTATGTTTTCTCTGTTGAGTAAACAGTCTCCTTTTGTGTGGTCACAGAAAACAATATGTTGGCAATAATAAAACTGAAGTATCTTCTCCAAAGGCTTTTGTGGTGGCAGCAGCTGTTGAGTGTAGGTCTAGGAGTTGGCTCCTAGGCCCGCATGTAATAAATACATTCCAACTCCCTCCAGGCTGTCAGTATGTTGAAGGACGGGTTCAAGTTAGACTTGAGCACTTAAAAGTGAATTAAAGCCTTCTGTCAGGCTATCAGAACAAATCCACTTTTTAAAAACGGACTTTTTGCAGTTAGGAAAGTGACAGTGAACTGAACTAAAACATATACGGTGGACAAAGTGTGGGAAGACAATTAAACACTCCACAATCAAATCAGGAGAAAGGCACGAGGAATCCTTCCGCCGGTGTAATCACCCAATGAGCAAATCAGAACAAATAGTCAGTAAAGACCAGATGTAATCTAACTACCTCTTCAAGTTCTGTGGAAGCAGGTCAGGATGAATGCTCATTAAACAGGTTGTTTGGGGGAACCCTCAATGACTGATTCCTGAACTGCAATCCTTGGTAAAGGTCAAGGTAAAGGGACCCCTGAACATTAGGTCCAGTCGTGACCGACTCTGGGATTGCGGCGCCCATGTCGCTTTATTGGCCGAGGGAGCCGGCGTACAGCTTCTGGGTCATGTGGCCAGCATGACTAAGCCGCTTCTGGCGAACCAGAGCACGGAAACGCCGTTTACCTTCCCGCCGGAGCGGTAACTATTTATCTACTTGCACTTTGATGTGCTTTTGAACTGCTAGGTTGGCAGGACAGGGACTGAGCAACGGCAGCTCACCCTGTCGTGGGGATTTGAACCGCAGACCTTCTGATCGGCAAGTCCTAGGCTCTGTGGCTTAATCCACAGTGCCACCCGCGTCCCTTGCAACCCTTGATAGTCTATACTATATTTGCCCCTGTCCTTGCACAGAATCCAGGCTTAGGCTGTCAGATTTTATTTTCCTAAAGGGAATCTCTAGCCTTCATGGGTGTGGCAAAAGGCAAAGAGCTTTTCCAGAGTATGCACTAGCAGTTTCTGGCAAAAGCAAATGTCCAGATCACATGGTATGCCTAAATGCAATTCTAAAAAAAAAAAAAAAAAAAAAAAATGAGCGGGGGCAGAGAACAGCTATTGCCTGTTGCCACCAGTCTTGGGCAGCTGAGCAGCACCCAGTACCACACACACATACCCCTGTCATCCAGGAAAGGGCAGGTGACAGCTATTGTTCCTGCCTGCCACTGCTGCCAATTGAAGGCAGGACAGAGGCCATGGGACTCCCAGGGCTGGTAGGGACAGCTGCAGAACAGGTAAACATTGACCCTCGCGTCTTGCTCTCTCAGCAAGGTGAGGAGACCCACCAGATCATCCCTGGAGAAAGTCTTAATCCCCACCCACACCCACCCCACACATAGATTTGCAGCAGTGGGCCTTGTTGTGGGGTGGGGGGTGGGGATTAAGACTTTTGGGTGGGAGCATCATTTTGTTTTAATGTTTAGGTACAGTGGTACCTCAGGTTAAGTACTTAATTTGTTCCGGAGGTCCGTTCTTAACCTGAAACTGTTCTTAACCTGAAGCACCACTTTAGCTAATGGGGCCTCCTGCTGCTGCCGCTGCACGATTTCTGTTCTCATCCTGAAGCAAAGTTCTTAACCTGAAGCACTATTTCTGGGTTAGCGGAGTCTGTAACCTGAAGTGTATGTAACTTGAAGCGTATGTAACTCGAGGTACCACTGTATCACTGTTACTGGCACTGATACTGTATGGAATGTTAATGTTTAACATCATTTATCTCGTTTTGTTTCCCCCCTGTGGTTTAATTATATATATATGTAGATGTTCTTCGATGCGAGTTGCTTACAGAGCTTTTAGGGAACAAGAGACTAATAAGGTGCCTAGGTAATAATAAATCATGGTCTCTGGGCACACCAGCTGGAATCAACACCCACGCAGGACTAGAGCTGCTATTACTAGCAGGATGGATGGACCTGATGGCACCAAACTTCCCTCTGCCCTTTCCCCTTGTTCCCCCCTCTTATCAGCTGGTGTCCCTTGGCAGGATACAGAAGAAATGTCTGGTGTGCACTCTCCCCTCACTGCTGCCTGCAATTGTACGGCACCCCTGGGTTGTCAGTATTTTGCGGAAGGCATTCGGGAGCTCATGGGGGGGGGAATGGGTTTGTGCAATTAAAACGAAGCAGCAAATTCACTTTAGAAAAGAAACCAGAAGACATATAAACACCCCACAACCAAATGCTTGTTGAATGCTTGCTGTCACAAAGCCCGCCCACCAACAAATCAGAGCACACGGGTGAGCTTTGTGCCAGTAAAACAGGATGAAAGCTCAAGAAATAGGTCGTCCGGAAGAGCAAGCAGAATCTACAGGTTCCGGATTCCATCTGATCCCTGCTTTCTCCCTTCCTGCGCAGCCCCGTTCATCTGACACACCCCTTTTCTTTGTCTCCAGTTCCCTGTACGGCAGGGCGCGCCGTACAGACGTCTGCTGAATAGTGATATACGATCCCTCAAAGAAGGGATCGGAGAGTCTGAGACTAGTGATCTTAGGAGACAAACACGACCGAGCGACGAGGACTGGAGAGAAAGAGCAAGCAGCAGCTTACCCCGGAGGAATCTCTTTTGAGTATACCTCGCCTGAGCGCTGAAGGGTGAGAGGCAGAACCTTGTGATGAGTCACCTAAGTTCAGTGGCTCTCCAGGGTTCCAGCTGCCATGTTCGATCCGTTAACAGCAAACTGCGACACTGAGAAGCGTCAAGGCAAAAACACTTACCATGACGAAGCAGGAGGCAGAAAATGATCGAGCCCACGTGACGCTTCTCCGGCGCCCGGAGCAAAACCGCAGGAAAACAAGCAGCCGATACGGCGATAGGAGGCAACTTCAATTTCCTTTGCTCCTCCCCGGGATGGGAGCAGCCCGCCCCCTCCAGATGTCTGGGACTAGCAGGCCAGTCATTCTCCAAAGAGAGCCGCTTCTCATGCTTATTTGCTAACATGCCAACTAGGCAAGGCATTTGGGAAGCTCCTATTCCACGCCTAGCTTTCCTCCAGTTTCCACGCCTACTTAAACAGCCTGCTTTTGTTCAGAGGAAAGGAGCTGAAACGCGCAAAAGCTCATGTCTGCAAAAATGCCTTGTTAATCTTGACTCCCAGAAATGCTTCGAATTCTTTGGCTCCGTGGTCAGCGATTCCACTTTGTGGGAAGGCGTTGCTATTTCCTTTTTGCTATCCTATTATTATTATTATTATTATTATTATTATTATTATTATTTACTTTTATTTTGCTTTAAACAAATACATATAAATATATTTATATGTATTTGCTATCCTTTTTGTCTGTTGAGATCGGATGCATCCGTGGCTCAGAAATGAGTGAAGCGCGTGCTTAAACCCGGTGCTTTTTTTTTCTTTTAAAAAAACGTCTAGGGGTACTGTCATTTTCCTACTCATATTGAAATACTGCCCCTCAATGAGGCCAAACTTCGATCCACAAAATGTTTAGACGTATGCTTACCCCTGCGTAACCCCCAGAAAAAATACTGCAGAACCCCATCAGCTCATATGGCTTCAAAGGAGTTTAGACAAACTTATAAGGCTGTAATTGCTACTGGACAATTTTCTTGTTTTTATTTATTTATTTTGACAGCGTCAGACCAACCTGGCTACCTACCTGAATCTTATATGGCTGTGTTCAGTTTCCACTGCAGCCTCTGAATGCCCGTTTCTGGAAATCACAAGGCTTGCCAGAGGAATCTAGTTGGCCACTGTGAGAACAGGGTGCTGGACTAGATGAGCTATTATTGGCCTGATCCAGCAGGACTTTAAAAAAAAAAATTCTTAAGAAAGATTTAATGAAAAGAGGGGTGTTATTTTGTCCTTTGCTAAAGCTGTGTTCATCTTATCTTGAGGCTGCAGATTCAAAGCAGGAAACACATTGAATTTCCTGACCACCTTCCCCCTCCCCCTTTCCATTGGAAGTAGCAAACTTTAATAGCAAGAGTAATTAAAAGAAAACAGAATAAGGCAACAGGGAAGGAAGAATCATGTCAAGGGGGGGGGAGGGAAGACCCCCTGATTTCTGTAATGGCACTAGGCAAAAGTAATTGACAATCCCTATTTTTAAAATCCCTCTTTCTTGTTTTTCTAAGAAAACAACAACACTGTCCCTGTTTTATATTTGTGATTTTTTGGTGAAAGCTTCTTTTTAAAAAAAATCAGTTTAGCAAACACATTGGTTTGGAAGTTAGACAAGAATTATTATCTCTCGTCAATAAATGCAGAACAAGAATCTCCTCGGTTTTAGCCAAATACCGTACAATGATGTCCAGTGCCACCTAGTGACTAAAACTATATGACACCATCCACACAGTGGGCACAAAAACCTTTCAGAATGTAGCATAGCTGCATCCCTGAGCAGGGCCAGCCCACGACATTGTGGCACCTGAAGTGAAGCACATTGTGGTGTCCCCTGTCTTCCAGGGAAGAAGGGGTTAGGGAGGAGCCACATCAGGAACAAGGTGGGAATAATATCTACATTAGGATCTGCTGCCATTGTAGATCTTGCTGCCTGAGCCAATCGCTTCACCTTGTCCCATGGGTTGGCCAGCCTTGTCCCTCGAGCATCTAAAAATTTAATGTCTGAGTAGGGTTTTGATGCATCTTCACCGTAGACTAATACACATGCATAATAATACAGTGGAAAAGGTAAAGGGACCCCTGACCGTTAGGTCCAGTTGTGGCCGACTCTGGGGTTGCGGCGCTCATCTCGCTTTATTGGCCGAGGGAGCTGGCGTACAGCTTCCGGCTCATGTGGCCAGCATGATTAAGCCATTTCTGGTGAACCAGAGCAGCGCACGGAAACGCCGTTTACCTTCTCGCTGGAGTGGTACCTATTTATCTATTTGCACTTTGACGTGCTTTCGAACTGCTAGGTTGGCAGGAGCAGGGACCGAGCAACGGGAGCTCACCCCGTGGCGGGGATTCGAACCGCCAACCTTCTGATCGGCAAGTCCTAGGCTCTGTGGTTTAACCCACAGTGCCACCCGCGTCCCAATACAGTGGTACCTTGGTTCAATAACAACTTCATCTATGAACAACTTGGATTAAGAACGCTGCAAACCCGGAAGTAGGTGTTTTGGTTTGTGAACTTCGCCTTTGGAAGTGGAACATATTCCGCTTCTGGTCAAGTGTGTTCCATTTGTAAATTGAGACCCCCCGGTGCTATGGGAAAGCACACCTTGGTTTAAGAACACTTTGGTTTAAGAACAAATCCCCATGATGGAATGAGCTCCTATCGCTCCATCCCAGCTCCTGCCAACCTAGCAGTTTGAAAGCACACCAGTATGGGTAGAAAAATAGGTACTGCTGCAGCAGGAAGGTAAACGGTGTTTCCGTGCACTCTGGTTTCCGACATGGTGTCTCGTTGCGCCAGAAGCTGTTTAGTCCTGCTGGCCACAAGACCTAGAAAAGCTGTCTGTGGAAAAACACCGTCTCCCTTGGCCTGGAAGCGAGATGACTGCCACAGCCCCATAGTTGCCTTTGTGAAATATACTCAGAGTCACAAAGTGATTTCATGCTCTTTTGCTCTTTATTCAGCTCATAGTGGTGAGGAGGAATGAATGAAAGTCCCCTCAAAGTATCTGCTTTATATACATTATTTACACAATGGGCTGCACATGATTGACTAATTCTGGAATTCTATTGTAAGCCAATCAGGTTGTGGATTCACTTATATCTGGAGCATGATTGGGTGGTTCCTGCCAACCAATCATACTGCTGCATTGTTCTAGGACCAATCAGACTGCTGCATTCTGAATCCTATTGTTCTAGGACCAATCAGACTGCTGCAATTTGGATCCTATTGTTCTAGGACCAATCAGACTGCTGCTGTTTGGATCCTATTCAACTCAGTACATAACACTTTGACTGGACTTAACCGTCCAGGGGTCCTTTACTTTTTACCTTTGCTCTTCCCCACTCAGAGAATCATAGAATTGTAGAGCTGGAAGGTACCCCAAGGATCATCTAGTCCAACCGCCTTCAATGCAGGAATATGCAGCTGTCGCATACGGGGATTGAACCTGCAACCTTGGCATTATGAGCACCACGCTCTAACCAACTGAGCTATGCAGCCTCATTCATGGAAGCCTCAGTCACATCTCTACATGGTTTAGCTATAATCTATAATTGGAGACTTCCAAAAGTCAAACTCCATTCTAAAAGCTGAACAATACAAACTGAACAACTCACAAAAATGTTTTTTTAAAAGAAGAACCTGCCCTAACCACCTAATAAGGCTGCGAATGTGTGACTGGTATTGTGGTTGAAGAGAAGAGCTGCTCCGGAAAGAGATCTTTGGCCATCAACTCAGGCTATAGCAGCAAACCTCCAGTGCTCCTTCGACAGCCCTGCAGCCCTGAGAGGCTTCTCTGCAGCCTCTGCTTGCCAATGGAGGGCGAAGATGGTTATACTGCTTTGAACTTCCAGTCTAGGAGGGCTGCATCAGGAACTGCCGCTGGGGCTCAGAAACAAGGTACTCCGTTCAGACCCCTTCGTATCTTCCAGTTTTTGTCTGATTCCACTGTAATGTATCGGTTGACAGACGGACATGATTTTCCTTTTCCTTTAGATTTATCCAGTTTGTAGAAAGTTCGTTTCTACCTTTATAAGCAGGATTTTTGTTTGACTAATGAGACGGAAATACAGAAGGGTGCATGTTTGCATTTTCATGAGAAACTACCCAAATTGCACTATTCGAAACAAAACAAAACTGTCTTTCAAAATTCGCACTTGTGTTTGAATTTTGCAATGCAGTTCTTCAGCTACAAAAATTGCACAAATATGCATATACCGGTGCCTATAAATAATATACAAAATTTAAATTTGTATATCATCATTTAAATAATATACAAAAATTCAGAGGAAATTGCTAGCAAAAATGTGTATACATGATAACTGCATATAAAAAGGTGGGAGAAATCTGAAGTAAATGCGGATGAATTTTCATTAAAAATAAATAAATGGTTGGAAGCAACCCACAAAGTTAAAGTTTACTTTTTAAATGATCAGTGCCACACAAGTGTGAAGGGTCTCTGAATAGGTAAAGGGAGAGGGAGTTGTCATTTGAAGTTCACATAAAAATGAAATCAAGATCTGGCTGCATGTTTTTAAACATGATGAGAGCAGAAATGTTTCAATATTCAATTTATTCCTTGTAAAGAAACCTGGAGTTATTTCTGATCATCAACAAGTGCATTTATGTACCCAGTAATACCTCTATGAATCTCAGCACAATTTCCTTCTATTTGGTATTTGTTATTTTGTATCGCCCCCATAATAACAAAAAAAGCAGAAATAGGACCAAGGGTGTCATTTCTTCTTTTATAACAACTTTGTTGTCTTGATTTCTTATTATTCCGGTTTTGCCATTTCTGCATAGTCCGTTAATTTCTGTAGCCAGTTTTCTCTCTTCTGGACTTCATTTCATTTGAGGGCAAATAACGTTCTTGCAGCTGTAGTTGCATACATAAATAAATTTCTATACTATTTAGGTAGTTCTATTCCTATAATTCCCAAAAGAAAAGCTTCTGGGTTTGTTTTTTACAAATGTGTTATCTTAAAGATTTTGAGAAAGGAATGGAAATGGTTCAGTGAATATTTACAAATAAATTGTAAACAGACATTATGACATGGGCAGGATTATTGTAAATAATTGCAGGTTTTTTTTAAAAAAAGAAACCATATATGAGATATATATGAGCATAAAAGAATAAGTGAAGATAATTTGGAGTATGCAGGAAATGATGAAAATAAATGTAAGGAACCGCAGAAAGAGGGGGAAGGGAGCCGCGGTTTCCTATGTAATAATTATTGTTGAAGTATTGTAACGTATATAAATGAAAATTATAAAGAAGATTATTTTTTTAAAAGGATGCAGAATTGAGGACAATGCAAATAAAATTAGATATGCCAGTTAGCTTGGCAAATAAAATGTTATAATATACTCTTATTCAAATTCAAAGCATGCATTTAGCATGTAGCGTGCACATAGATGGGTCTTTGCTTATTGCTTCTTCTGCAACATTTCACACTCCTTCCCCCAGCCTAGTGAAGAAAAAACACTTCTGTAGATGCTGCCCCCAATGTCCTGGCCAAGGCACAGTTTAAAGGTGTGAGCATGTTGCCTGACCACCCGCTCCACCCACATCCTTTTCCTATGCACCTACTGAGCCACGGAGGCGATTCATGGTGAAAACTACAGAACTTCTTTCCACCTCAGGTTCACTTCCTGGTTAAAGAGAATGCTTCGTATTTTAGCATCTGACACTCCATTTCTTTTTGTCAGGTTAATGAGCAATATTGGTAGTCAACTAAATAATTGAACGGGCAGAGTAACTTCCATTTGGACCATGTCTGTCTTACCAGGCACATCTCATGCCTATAGTAAGGAATCTGCAGTAGCTGCCCATCAAGCCACATTTTTAAGGTCTTCTTACTTACGTCTAAAGCCCTAAACAGCTCTGGACCAGATTTCCTAAAAGAACAACTTGCCTTTTGTTGTCAGGAAAGAGCATTAAAACAACCAATGAAGCCCAATTAGTCTTGCCACAGCTTATTGATAGCACTAGCAATATGGAAGGCTGCTTCTTATCAGTGAATGGATGTTTTCTGAAGATTTTTAAAATTCAAACTAATACAAAACATCAGAAATAAAAGATGGTTTATTTCCTTCGCTCTATTTCTCTTCCCTGCTTCGGACAAAGCATGCTGCTGACAGCTGACACTCACATCAGCAGTGGAGAAAATCTGCATTAAAAACACACACACTACAGACACCAGAAAGCTCCAATATATATTCACTCAGGCCATATAGCAAGAGGAGCACAAAATCAATGACAGTGAACTGAGCATAGTCAAGGGGTTACGACTGGAGATCTAGAACCATGATGAGATTTTCAGGGTGCAAAGTTTATCAGTACATTGGTATCAGAGATGGGTCATTTCTTTTCCTTTTTCTCCCCCCCCCCTTTTTGCTTAGATTTTCCGTCATACAAATTAATAAAAAAGAGAAATAATGCATAACAGAAAAGAAACATTTTAAATAACTTTTTATTCAAAATCAAAACAAGACATATTATCCAGAAACATATCATCCTTATTTCCCCCCCCCATTTTCCCTCCCTCCCCCACAGAACCCACCCACCCCACCCCCCGACTTCCCTCAGTTCCAGTCTTTGATTTCTCCAAAAATGCTGTTTTCTGCATGTTACACAGATGTATAGATCCTCAAACTATTTAGCTGATTATTATCAATAAAAATGTTTATTCAAAACCAGCCAAGGAGTCCAGTTCACTTTGTTGCATCTTCAGATACTTTGTAAAGGGTTCCCATTCATCTTTAAAGTCACAGTTATCCTTGTCCCGTAGCTTGTATGTCAGTTTTGCCAGTTCTGCATAATCCATCAATTTTTCTTGCCATGATTCTTTAGTTGGGGTTTCTTCAGTCTTCCATCCTTGTGCTACCAGAACTCTTGTGGCCGTTGTCACAGAAAAGAAACATTAAATCATTATACAACATCCAAAATAGAAAAGAAAAATGTAAACAAAATAAAAGAAACCCACCACCCTGTTTAACTTCCCTCCACCGCTACTTGTCTTCTCTAGAATCAATTTTACCTTTATCGTTGCACTCTGATTGTTTTTATTTTCTCTACATATATACATACATACATACATATGTCATTGATAATTTATTGTTTTGATGCATTTACATTCTTAATCTAAGCATATTAGCATGTCTTTTTTTCTAAAGAGAATTCATTAATGCATGAAACATTATTAAAAAAAACAATTAAATATTACTATCTAAAATATATAACCTTTTGCTAGATTTGGACATGATTGACAAGGAAGTGAAAGAGACAATGATTAAATGGGTGCAAAATTCAGCCGCACAATATATTTAGAGCAATGGGAGAAACTTTGGCAGGAAGATATAAGGGTTACCGCCTGTAGTACAATAAAAGAAAATTTCATCAAAATGTTCTACAGGTGGTATTTAACCCCAGTCAAATTAGCAAAAACCGATAAACTGAAATGCAACCTCTGTTGGAAATGCAACAAGGAAGCTGGTACAACAATGCATATGTGGTGGAGTTGCACCCCGAGTAAGTACTTCCGGGCAGAAATACATGAGGAGTTGAAAAAAATGATTAGAATCCCATTAACGAAAAAACCAGAGGCTTACCTACTGGGCCTTTTAGGAAAATAAATACCAAAATAAAAAAAAGAATTTTCTTATATGCGACCACTGCAGCTAGGATAGTAATAGCATCTAAATGGAAAGCTAAAGAACTACCTACCGAGGAGGAATGGATTCTCAAATTAAATGAATATTTTAAATTGGTTAAATTAACAGCACCTATACGATAGCAGTCAAATCAAAAGCTAAAAAATGAATGGCAATGCTTTGATGATTATATGACAAAATATTGTTCCAACAGAGACTGCTCATTTCTTGCATGTGGAATGGGAGATCAGCTTTTCTCCTTATCGTGCCAGCTCCATCAAAGCTCACTCTTATTTTTGTCTTTTGTGAACTTCATTACAAGCCCTTTTGTGAACTTCTTTACAAGCCCTTCTAAATTACACAAGTTCAGCCTCGCAGATCTCCACATTCCTACACCACGTCCACACACCCATTAAACTCCTCCTGACAATTCAACGTTTAGGTGTACATTTCTCCTAATGTGCACATTTTTTGTTTGCAATTTTGCCTAGCACACTTTTTTTTTTGAGCCATCCCCTAATACGGTGCATTTTGGTATGTTGGCAGTTTACTAAACATATACCATTTGCCTGTTGCCTCCTGAAGGGATTTTTTTTGTCAAAAAACAAAACAAAACAAATCACCCAGCCTTTGCCCTGTGATGTTTGTTAGCCTGCAATTTGTTGTTGTTTAGTCGTGTCTGACTCTTCATGACCCCCTGGACCAGAGCATGCCAGGCACTCCTGTCTTCCACTGCCTCAAGCAGTTTGGTCAAACTCATGCTGGTAGCTTCGAGAACAATGAGTTACAGGAAATTCTATTCTAGGCACTGCTGACTCACATCATTCAAGTTTTCCCACTCCTCACAGATGCTTCTGGGCTTCCCTGTTGGTACCGGATCACCCTGTGGGCAAGTGGCTTTGTGATCATCATCCTGGGGGTGGCTGTGACAGTCTTGGGTGAGTATTATTTATTATTTCATTTATGAATTGCTGTCCATGTGGCATCCTGAAGTGGTTTACCATACAATAAAAGCATATACAGAATGATGGTCTAAATAAAAACAGTTAGCACATCTTCCATTAGCTCCAGCCCATTTGGTCTGGCCCCCTCTCCAGAGCCCTCCTTCTCCCCCCACCCCAGTGGTTTCAGTTGGCTGGGTTGGTGTGTATGGAGCACCCTTTACAAGTCTGGTGCATGGCCATGTTCTGCGTACTTCCACGACCTTTCTTCAGGGTCATACCCCTTCCACAAAATCAGGTGTTGAAGGTTCTTCGCATTGTGGAGTCTAGAATTTGTTCTACTTCATACTCCCCCTCTCCTTCTACCATGACGGGAGGCAGAGGCTTGTCTAGGTGCCTGGTAAGGGTGTGCAGGCACGACAGGCAACAAAACTGATCTGAGGAAGATGGGGTGAATCTTCATGGATACAGGCAATCGAAGCCAGAAAGTCACAGGGTTGATCTGATCTACAACTTCAAACGGGCCCACCCTCTGTGGCTCCAATTTCTTGCACCTGCCTTTCTGTGGCAAATCACGTGTCAAGAGCCATACCTGATCTCCCACCTTAATCTCGGTGCCAGGTATTCTGTGTGCATCAGCCAATCTCTTATAGGCTTCCTTAGCACAATCCAAAACTCTCTTTTAGCAAACTTTGTATTCCTGTCAGTTCTTCTATGAAGTCTTCTGATGCCGGCACGGACAGGGAGTCGGTCGGGGATGGGAAGGTGCGAGGATGGTATCCATAACTGGCAAAGAAGGGGGCCTGCTGTGATGAAGCATGAAGAGTGCAATTGTATGCAAACTCAGCCAAGGAGAGATTGGATACCCAATCGTCTTCCTGGTAGTTCACATATTCTGATTAGCTGTCAATTGGGAGTAGACTGACAGCTGAGGAGAAGTAATGTCAGTTGGGAAAGTCAGGGAGGGAGGGAGGTGTGAGGCAAACAACTCCCAAAGCTGAGGTAAAAATGGGTATCTGAGGGCCGAATAATAAGCTGTTCTTCCCCCTTATGTTAATAATGGTTTGCTGGTGAATATCAGAAGAAGGGAGCTGATGGCTGTGTTAGACCAAGTTGCTGCCCCAGATAAAGATTGTAACAGGAATAAAATGGCAGAAGTGTGTCACCATTGTTTTATCATATCCATCTTCTTCTCTCATTCCTTGGCCTCTAAATTTTGAATTTGTCCCTTAACATTATGCCTACTAATTTAACTGACTTTCTTTGTTTTGCGGGGACAGCTTTGCAGTTGGAAGCTGAAAAGGGAAAAATTCTACTGAACAATGGTGGATGCAATGCCTCAACAGACAAGTTTCGGGCTTCCCTAAGACACAACTTCTGCAATCAAAATCAGTATAGTTCCTCAGGTAGAGTTGATATATTGTACTTCTGTCTCTTTCAAGCATAGTAATTGTATGTAAGATCTTGCTTTCAGTTCACATCTATGTTGTTTTGAGGCATAAAACCTTCTGTAAAGAAATTACCGTATTTTTCGCTCTATAAGACGCACCAGACCACAAGACACACCTAGTTTTTGGAGGAGGAAAACAAGAAAAAAAATATTCTGAATCTCAGAAGCCAGAACACCAAGAGGGATTGATGCGCAGTGAAATCAGCAATCCCTCTAGCTGTTCTGGCTTCTGGGATAGCTGTGCAGCCTGCATTCGCTCCATAAGGCGCACACACATTTCCCCTTACTTTTTAGGAGGGAAAAAGTGAGTCTTATAGAGCAAAAAATACGGTAATTTCATTCATTGAAATTCATTCATTTCATAGACTCATAGAATTGTAGAGCTGGAGGGAACCCCAACGGTCTCCTTGCAATGCAGGAATCGCAGCTAAAGCATCCCTGACAAGATGGCCGTCCAGCTTCTGCTTAAAAACCTCCAGGAGAGTCCACAACCTCCCTCGGGAGACCGTTCCACTATCAAACAGCTTCTAATGTCAGAACGTTTTTCCTGATAATTAGTCAGAGTCTCTTTCCTTGCAACTTTAATCCATTGTTTCAGGTCCAACCCTACTGAGCAGGAAAAAACAGGCGTGCTCCATCTCCCGTGTGGCAGCACACATTCCAGCTTGTCAAAATCCTTCTCAAATTGTGGCACCTAGAACTGGACATGGTACTCCAGGTGGTGTTCTCATAGTTTGGTGGCAGAGCACCAATCTTGGATGCAGAAAGTCCCAGATTCAATCCCTGGTGTCTCAAACTGCTGATGGTCAGTGTAGACAAATTTGAGCTAGATGAACCCCATGGTCTCCCTAAGAATAAGGCCGCTCCCTATGGTCCTGAATTATCAAGCATCAGTGGTTTCATTCTAGAGCTAACTTCACACTCAACTCCGGCCATTGCCTTTCTCACTAAGAGCCAGGTGTGGGAGGGGAGACCCACCCATTTGCCCTCTGGCGCAAATCCACTTCCTTTGTTATAGCAAGGACAGCATTTAAGGCCATTAACTCACCTGGCTAGTTCAACAACGGACTAATCCAGGCACGTCCAACTTTGAGGAGTTTCAGAGAGTACCCTGCAAACCATCAGTTTGCTGGACAGCTTCACTCAGCCTAGAGACGCTGGGTCTTTACCGTTGCAGAGCACGTACGTTTTTCACAATCAAAATGGAGGCCCAGTCATAATCGTTAAGTGTCTTTCCTTCCACAGATAATTCCCCTTGCAAAGTGTGCCCTATGCAATGGCAGCTCCACAGGGACAAGTGCTACTGGCCATCAGACTATATGAAAACCTGGGATGAGAGCCAACATGACTGTTCAACAAGGGCTTCTCAACTGCTGGTCATCCAAGACAAGGAGGAGCTGGTAAGGGGACAATTGCATATGCATTCCACAAATGATCATGCATTCCACAAATTCCATTAAGTTTAAATTTCTTGTCCAATCAGAACACTTTGTTTCCCTCACCTCATTTCCTTTTAAGGCACTTTAAGTATATATCTGTGGTTGGTCTAAACTTACAAACGTATATGAGCACATGTAATAACTACCATCATAAACAAAGAGTGCCACGTGATTGGCCAACAGTTTAAACAAAGGAGCTTTCCTCGTCGTTTGCTAGAATTTTATTTCAGGATTCAATTTCACCTCACTCCAGTACCTCGCATAGTCCGACCACATTCCGAGGATGCTCAATATTGGCATTAATATTGGATGCCCCCATCTCCGCTACAGCCATGAGCAGAGGATCCTGCCACCATCTGTACGGCTCTCTGGTGGCACCAGCGGCAAACCGCTATGTACAATGCATGCGCGGTGTCACACACATGTGCTGTGCGTAGCGATGCCACACATGCGCTGTACATAGTGGTTTGCCACCGGCGCCACTGGAGCACCAAGCGGACGGTGGTGGGATCCCTCTGCCACCGGCAGGAGCCGCTTATGGTGAGCTGGGGGGCCCCCTCCCAGCCTCCCTCCCTCCCTGGCTCACTGTAAGCGGCTCCCGCTTTGCCGCTATACAATGAGACAGGGAGGGAGGGAGACAGACGGGAGCCATGGCCAGTTCATCAGTGTCTAGAGAAGGTCTTGGGGAGCTTGACTAGTGAGAACCAAAGCAGAATTTGCAAGCAAATCCCTGTAACTGTAGCCCAAGTCCTCTTTTTATTTAGGAAGACTCTTTAGGAAGGTGAGGTTGGTGGTAGAGCAGTGGCAGAGGAGGAGCTGGTGTTCCCCTTGTCCCCCCCCCCCATTCCACACAGCCTTTCGACGGCTTTCCCCCATGGATGCTTTAAAGCATGTTTAGAGGCTTTTTCAATGGTGTTCCCACTATACGCAATTTCACTTCAATGCACAGTTCCTTGCCTACGTAAATGGAGAGGCCTGCATTATAAATGCTTAATGCTGCTTTGATAGTGTTCTTGATGATTGTTTCTTTATAATTAATATCAACTTCCACATTTTACTACTTTATTTTATTTTAGTGTAAACTTTATTCTGAAGTAATCATCTTGAATATATATATATATATATATATATATATATATATATATATATAAAATCACATTCTCATACAGGATTTCATAAAAAGCATTACAAAAGAATCAAATTACTGGATTGGACTCTCACGATTACAACTGGAGAAGAAATGGATGTGGATTACAGGCTCCCAGCTTGATCAGAGTCTGTGAGTTGTTATTGTTTTCAATCTAAGCAAAAATTCACACACTTTTAGAGCTAAGATTATCTTGGTGTGCAACTGAGGCATTGGTTTTTGCACTGGTTCCAATTAAGTTGCCAGCATTTTCATGTAAAGAGAGGGGTAGCTAGGAACTGATATTAGAGATGTTGCCAAATTCCACATTTAATTTGCACTGAACATTTAAGCAAGTGTTTCTCTTGCCTCTTTATAAGCTAAAGTTTTAGTAGGCTAAGGGAAAAGATTGCGAAAGATTTTTTCCCCCTGCTTCTTCTATTGGCTGCTGAGAAGATTCCCTCACATGACTCCTGAGAAATCGGGAAAGGTCTGGGGTGGCAGGTTTCCATTCCATGAAGACATGGGCGTAGTTCTATTTTCATTTTTATTCACTGGCTGCCTCACTCCCCACTCATGGTCTCAATTGAAGTGCCCCCCTTGCTCCACAGCACTGGTTCCTTGGGGGAAGGAAAAATCCTTAGGGGCATGAATGGAGCATTTCCCCTTACAGTGGTACCTCAGGTTACAAACACTTCAGGTTACAGATTCAGCAAACCCAGAAGTAGTACCTCGGGTTAAGAGCTTTACCTCAGGATGGGAACAGAAATTGCGTGCCAGCAGCAGTGGGAGACCCCATTAGCTAAAGGGGTACCTCAGGTTAAGAACTGTTTCAGGTTAAGAACGGACCTCCGGAACCAATTAAGTTCTTAACCCGAGGTAAGATAAAGGTAAAGGGACCCCTGACCATTAGGTCCAGTTGTTACTGACTCTAGGGTTGCGGCGCACATCTCGCTTTATTGGCCGAGGGAGCCGGCGTTTTTCCGCAGACAGTTTCCAGGTCACAGCCAGCATGACTAAGCCATTTCTGGCGAACCAGAGCAGCACACGGAAAGGCCATTTATCTTCCCACCGGAGTGGTACCTATTTATCTACTTGCACTTTAACGTGCTTTCGAACTGCTAGGTTGGCAGGAGCAGGGACCGAGCAACGGGAGCTGACCCTGTTGCAGGGATTCGAACCGCAGACCTTCTGATCGGCAAGTCCTAGGCTCTGTGGTTTAACCCACAGTGCCACCCATGGTACCAGTGTATTTCTAAGTGCTGTATGGAACCACAGTGGCAGGGAGCGGAGGAGTAACTCTTCCCACTTCGCTCACAATCTCAATCACTGCCTCCCCAGCATTGATAATACAAGGAATTCCGGAGGCTGTTGTGGAGAGTCTTGCACAGAGCAGCTGGCGAAATTTTTGAAAAGTGAAAGAATGGTAGAAAATCCTCACCCTCCTTGTCCTAACCAGTGACAACACCCTTCTCCATTGAATTCTTTTTAAAAAACCTAACCCTGTTTCTATTTTCAGAGCTTTCTTTCTCTCTTAACACACACAAATGGTTAAAAGAAAGTATGCCCCGGTCCCTGGTGGAGCATCCCTCACTGCTGCAATCCTCCTTCCCAGGCCCCAAACTAAATTGGTCTTGGTGCAGGAAAAGGGGAAGATGGTGCTGCTCCCACTATCAAGCTCAGCATGACTTTCTTCACTCTCTCCACTTTGATGCTACTCGTGCAACTTTGGAGGATTCAAATGCATACACCAGCTTATTGTACATTTTGGGAACCCTCATGCTTTCTGTTAAGAACATGAAAAAATAGTTGTAACAGACTTCAGTCCAGATGTACCTTTTTCTTCCACAGATTTCCAGAACCAAACTATGCTGAAGGAAACTCTTGTGCCGCCATAAAATATAAAGTCACCTCTGAACGCTGCAGTACTGTATTTAGGTGGATTTGCCAGAAGGACCCTCTCCTACTCTGATATTTTAGTTTGATAAATGCAATAATTATGTGGGTTTTTGTTTCTTTGCCAGGAACACACAATAAAAATGTCATTGAGTCACTGAGCAGATTATTTGTACTCCACCCTCCCCGGCAGGGGCAGCTAACATCATAAAACTAACACAGTACACAAAGAACAAGAACTGGCAATCAATTAATTAAAATACATCTTAAAATCACAGTGGTACCTTGGGTTAAGAACTTAATTCATTCTGGAGGTCTGTTCTTAACCTGAAACTGTTCTTAACCTGAAGCCGCACGATTTCTGTTCTCATCGTGAAGCAAAGTTCTTAACCCGAGGTAATATTTCTGGGTTAGCGGAGTCTGTAACCTGAAGCATCTGTAACCTGAAGTGTAAGTAACCCGAGGTACCACTGTAGTTCAGTGCAAATTAAAATCTGGGCAGATGGCAGTCCACAGGTAAAACTGAGAGTGGTTAATATTCTACAGGGCCAAATGTTACCACTGGTCTCATAAAGGATAGTGGTGGCAAGCAAATTTTGCGCGCCCCCTCTCGCCTGCATCCCTGGTGGGGGCCCACCTCACCACCCCCTAGCTACGGCCCTGCATCCACTGATGATGATAATGATAAAAAAAATAATTTTATTTGTACCCCGCCCTCCCTGGCCGGAGCTGGGCTCAGGGTTGCTACCATCATAAAACTAACATAGTATACAAAGAACATAAGAACATAAAAACAGGCAATCAATTAATTATCTACTGTCCTTTCTGATTTGTGAACTGGTTTGCTGCAGATCCAGGGTTCTTCACGATGGCCGCTGGAGCTGGCAACACCTTCATGGTTTATGTAAGCAGATTCTCCTCCTCCCCGAATTTCAAACCTAAAATTTCAAACAGAACATATGTTGAAATAATCATAACAATAATTTTATTATTAATATGCCAACCATCTGACTGGGTTGTTCCAGCCACTCTGGCCAGCTCCCAACAAAATAATAGAAACATAATCAAACATCAAACTCCCACTACAGGGCTGCCTTCAGAAGTCTTCTAAGGGTTGTACAGTTCTTCATCTCCTTGGCATCTGATGGGAGGGCATTCCACAGGGCAGGGGCCACTACCAAGAAGGCCCTATGCCTGGTTCTCTGTAACTTCACTTCTCGTAGTGAGGGAACCGCCAGAAGGCCCTCGGAACTGGAGCTCGGTGTCTGGGCTGAACGATGGGGATGAAGATGCTCCTTCAGGTATACAGGGCCAAAGCTCTTTAGAGCTTTAAAGGTTAGCATCCTAGGGGCCAACTCATAGGTGCTGAGATCCCTTTGCCCCCCCCCATAAAATATTTCAGGGGGCTGCCCCCCAAAGTTAATGGGCATTGCCACTCAAATGGTGTGCATGTGTTGCATCTTGTGATCAGTTATATGAGGCAGGTCCAAGCAGGAGATAACCAGAGCATGCAGCACTCTGGTGAGACAGTGCGCAGGCAGGCAGGGTCTCAGCCGGTGTACCAGATGGAGCTGGCAGAATTGACCTGCCCCTCCATGGACAGCTGTGAGTCCAAGATGACCCCAAGGCTGTACAGCTGGTCCTTTAGGGGCCCAGTAACTCCATTCAGGACCAGGGAACCCCCCCCCCAAAAAAAAACATGCCTGTCCCCTCTCCCCCAAAACTGTACTTCTATGTTGTTGGAATTCAGCCTCAACCCATTACCCACATTCCATAGAAAATATCCATTGAAACATCCCTGGGAACCAGCAGAAGACCAAGAAGAAGAAGATCGCCAAGCATAGGTGCAGGAAGGCCTTGAAGCAAATTTGCACCTGAAGAAGGCGTTTTCATTCATATTCATACAATACAAATATTCATATTTCAAGGCAGCTTTCCCATCAAAATATTTTCTTTAGAATCTGGCCTAGAAAGAAAACATCAAACTCTCGCTGCACTGTGACTGATGTGTGCTGCTCACCACAAGGCGGAGCGAGAAGGCTTCTGGTCAGTTCCTCAACATTCAGGCAGGCTACTAGTAACAACTGTGAAACTACAAATGTGTCTATGACAGTGGCGTGCAGTGAATTTTTTTGTAGGGGAACAGTTAGGGCAAGTGGCACCAGCTTGTGACTGGAGCAGGGGTGAGGAACATCTCACAAGTGATGTTGAGACACTGAAATGTCCAGCATCCCGTCTCCCTCTCTAAGCCAGGCAAAAGTTTCCCAGGCTTTGGGAAGGAGGTGCCAGACTTTTATACTTCAATATTCTAATTTACTGGGAACATTTAGGGGACTAGCCTCGTCCCCCTAGTCCACTGACCACATGCCACTAGGTTAGGACCAGGAGATTTGTAGCCCTTGTGGAATATATGCAGTGTCTTTTCCCCCAGGGGGTACTCAGCGGGTACTCAGCACCTGCACATTTTTCTTTTGCAAATGTTAAAAGTGTGGCACTTACTAAAATAATTTTGTGCTGAATACTGGCACCTTATTTTCTATATATATTAAAAGCACTGCATATGTTGCTCTTCAAAAAACATCTGTCTGGGCAAGCATTCCTTGAGTCGAACTGTTTTAACTGTTACACTGTTTTAAAGGGCTTGTTTATTACACATTTTCATTGTGGATACTCACCAGTTATTGAAAATGGTGCCATTGATCCATTTCCAAGGCTCCTGGTCATTCATCCTTTGGAGACCAATCCAGTGGTCAGCAGCACCTTTGTACCGTCTCAAGAAGCTCTTAATAAAGAAAAGAAGTGTGAATACATTTCCAACCCTCATCCAAGTGGAGAATCAACTCCATTTAAGGCTTCAGACTCTGCTCTGTATCTTTCCACTCACCATCTCCTCTTCAGAGTCAATCACGACCAAAGAGGCATCGAAAGAGGCACAGTAATTCTGGCTAGAAGTCCAATTTCTGTCACTGTCTGAAAAATAGTAACATTTCCTTTGGTAGCCAATCCAGCCGTCCGGACAGCATTCAGTTGGGGTGGAAGGAGAAGGTAGGACAGCTGGCAATACTGCGCTTGTCCTAGAAAGGTATCAGAAAGTGAGACAGATCATTATCGATAGCTTATAAACAGTCCTACCCAAAATAAAGGTCAGGCAATGTACTCCACTCATCAACATTATATCTGTGTGCTGCCTTTCCACAAAAGGAATCCTGCTCAAAGCAGCTTGCAAGAAAGAAAATGGGAACACATCTCAAGCATCATAAGAGCAATCACATAAAAATATAGTATAACAACATAATTGCAAATACACCACACACAAAAACTGTGTGCAGGAGGTCTCTGGTCAACCCCCATCATCTCCAGGCGGGGCTGGATAAGGGTGGGGAAATGAGGGTAGGAGGGAGGGCAGACAGCCCAGTGCCCATCTGTGCCCACAAACTCAGGAGCTTGCAGGACACGGAGCAGCTTCTCTTGTGGCTCAACCATAGATAGTCGACCTCAATTGACTATCCATGAAATACACAGCCAGGGTCTAGTTGACTCTCCCTGAGAAAGGCCTTTGATTAGAATTGTATCGTACAATTTAAATCACTTGAAATTGTGTGCGTATTGTGTGTGTGTGTATTGTTTGTGCATATTGGTCTGTTATTACAGTACATGAAGTCTACCTTGCCTGAATGTGGGCCCTTATCCACAACTGCTTCCAGGCCACCTCAAATGAACACCAATAAAGCTATTCTAGCTGCTGAGGAGAGGAGATCTGTGAGAGCAGGTGGCCTGTTGATAACCTGGCAGACGTTACAGCAAAATGGCTCTTCACTTACCTGATAAAGCAGTTCTGCTGCTGATGATGATGGAAATAATCAGAATGACATTAAGCACCAAACTCACAATCATTACAGTAAAAGCGAGCTTCTTTTTTTCATTACTGTAGAACCCTGCAGAGGGAAATAAAGTGTTAATGTGTCCTTGGTTTCAGCAAGATGCAGGACAAGTCCTTCTAGAAATTCCAAAGTATCTGGGGGGCTCCAAGTCTACCCAGGCTTGGGTCGTCCACCCACATTGAAGGTGTGAGTTCAAGCTTGCATCACACCAAGATGTCATACCACTCAACAGTCCTGATTTATGTGGGACATCTTGGAATTACAGAAGCCAATTCCGGCTTCTGATTGTATCCCAGAATGTCTCATATTTTGGTCCTGTGCTCTGGTGCAAGTCAGCTGGAGACCAAAAAAGAAACTTCCCGATTTTGGTCAATGGGATGTTAGAAGGGTAAGAGATGAACCAAATTCACCTGTGGCATCATAAAACTTGGTGCCTCCCACCAGAACTCAGCCAACTTGTAGGCCTCTGCGCATGGCTGGTGAGTCACTAGTTATTTATTTTATTAAAAAGCATTTACTTGCCACCATCTCCTAAACTATCAAAGTGCTTCAAAATAATAGTTATACAATAAAACAAATATCACCAGTAGAAATAGTAAATATATATAAATATATCATTAATATAAAGGTATGCTGGTGGTGCTGTGGTCTAAACCGCAGAGCCTAGGGCTTGCCAATCAGAGGGTCAGAGGTTCGAATCCCCGTGACAGGATGAGCTCCCGTTGCTCAGTCTCTGCTCCTGCCCACCTAGCAGTTCGAAAGCACATCAAGTGCAAGTAGATAAATTGGTACTGCTCTGGCGGGAAGGTAAACGGCGTTTCCGTGCGTTGCTCTGGTTCACCAGAAGCGGCTTAGTCATGCTGGCCACATGACCTGGAAGCTGTCTGAGGACAAAAGCCGGCTCCCTCGGCCTATAGAGCAAGATGAGTGCCGCAACCCGAGTTGTCCACGACTGGACCTAATGGTCAGGGGTACCTTTATGTTTTTATCATTAATATAGCTGGAAGATCAACAACATTTTAAACAGCTGTATAGCCTTGTTGGCATAAGAAAAGGTCTTCAAGTCAAGCTTAGAAGTCAGAAGTGAAGATGCCGGATGTGTCTCTGCTGGAAGAGCCTTTCACAGCTTCAACTGGTGGCGCTAAATGCCCAACTTCTAGCTGAGGTCACTTGGGCTTCTGAGACAAATAGTGGCAGCCTTGTTAAATCCACTGGCAGCAGTCTGCCAGAAGGGAATCTCTATCCTACTTAGAAGCAGAATGTGATATTTTGTTCATGCATCTCAAGCTAGCGCAGCAACCTCAAGCGAATACAGTAGAACCTCGACTTACCAGCCCCCCTACTGGCGAACAATGTGCGTCTGCACATGCGCAGAACGGTGCTGCTGCCAAATGCGCACACGCAGAATGGCGCTTCTACCAGCAACCCGGGTCTGCTCATGAACGGACCTCCGGAAGGGATTCCGTATGTGAGTAGAGGTTCCACTGTATCCTGAAACCATTTTAATCTTGATTGTAAAACAAACCATTAAGGGGATACTGTTTGAGCTCTTGCACATTTCTGTATAACATAGGGTTGGTTCCAACACATCACGGGTAGATCCATTAATGTGCAAAACAAAATGCATTAAAATGAATTGTTCAACCAAAGAACATTTCCCTGTGCTAGAAGAAGCTTTATTCATTCAATGCAGGATAGTGAATTTTCAAGCTTGCCTCACCCAAATAAATCAAAATAGCAGTTTGTAGTACACAGGCTAGGATTAGCAGATGTACTAAGGTTGCTATATTAATTATATACGGAGGATGGCATAACTGACCGTTAAAGAAAATCAGGTCCAAATGTAAGGACTAGGCAGTAAAGTGGTTCGTCAGCAATAAGCAGCTCTGAGTGTCTGCTTTCAGCGTACATATATATTTCAGTTAATGTCGACACATGTTTGGCCAGATTGGGTTCCTGAAAGAAAGAGGTACCTAAAAAATGTTTTGAATGATACATTCCGAAAAGTGTTGCATAACGCAAAGTTATGAAGTCAGTCAAGCAGGGGTTCTCCAACTGCTTTTAATTGCCTGAATAAACTAGAGTCTCCATGAATTTGATTAGCTGGCCTACATCTTACAGCTCTCATCCCAGCAGCAAATCGGTGACTTTTCTGACAGTAGGTGGAGACAAACTCATGCCTCTCTCATCAGACTCACTTACCATATAGAGAATGGCTCAGTTTCAGAGAGACTCTTTCTTCATGTTGTTGTTGTTGTTGTTGTTGTTGTTGTTGTTGTTGTTGCTTAACTCTTGCTTGTTTGGTATTTCCATTACTTTTCCTGTTCTTAGCTGCATCTTGAATCATAGGGAGCCTTTGCTCCGTCTTTTCAGTTTCAGAGGAACCCATCTTTTCTTTCTCCCAGGAGGATCCACAGACCTCACAGTAAATGCTACTCAGCTCTAGTTACACAGAGTTTTGCAGTTTCTTGAGATATGTTTAAAGCAGATCACTGGATTACAGATTCACGCACAGTTTGGGCTACGTAATGTGGTGAGAAAACACCCTTTTTAAATACTACTTAATCGTCTGCTTTAATCGGGTACTTTGTCCAGCCAAGCTGTACTTAATATGTATTCTACTTCCCTGTGTTATCTTCCTGACTCCTTTTATTACCAGTGCCTCTTCAGAGTCTGAAGTACCAATTCTGTGCTTTTGCCACACAAAAATTCACCACAACATCAATTTTCACCATGACATCAATGTCCCAAGATTCCTCTGTGGAGAGAAAATTACAGAGCAGAAATGAATTATCTCTTCTTGAAATCTATAAAAGGTCACTTTTGCTTCCATACTAGTATAGTCCCCACCCCCAAAAAAGCCCTAATGGTGGTCTTTCATATACTAATTTATAGAGCTGTAAAATTCACAAATGAAATATTGCTTCTTTTTAGTCTAAATGATTACAGTAATGTTTCTACATCTACTTGATGAAACAAAGGCGTTGAGTAAATGCAAAAGGGAGGAGCCCTTGAGATAGTTGAAGATGGCTATTGTATTATATTTTCCCCCAGTCTCCTCCTACCCAGCTCCTCCTCCTCATAAAGCTTGGTTTCCAAGCTTTATTAGAAAATGACGCTCTCCTCTGGACACGTTCCAGCTTGTCAATATCCTCCTTAAATTGTGGTGCCCAGAAATGGACACAGTACTCCAGGTGAGGTCTGACCCACTTTAATTAAGGTGTCCAGCACAAAAACCTCTGAACGGATCTGCCTAAAATTTGGCAGGCTTAATCCAGGGAGGCTCACATTTCTGCAAATTTCTTCCACTTTTCTCTGAAGCCTGAACAACAGTATAGCCATTTTTAGATTCCCTATTATATTGAATGAGGGGGTGAGAACTTTGGGTTGCATTCCTAGCAGTGCTAGGAGAATGTTCTGTCAGCACAAAGATTTCTCCTTGCCCAAGGGAACGTTCTCCCCCTCTCCTCCCTCATGACGCCCAAATGTATTCTAGCAGTTCTCCCAATCAAACAAAGCCAGCCTTATATTTAGTGCTTTTTTTCTGGGGCCACGCGGGAGTACCCGTACCCCAAAACATTTTGTGAATCTAAATGTTCCTGGGAAAGAGGGGAAGGAAGCGGCGGTGGCAGCAGGGAGCAGGCTAGTAGGCAGGACCCATTACTCACATCCTAGGAGCCTACACGACACAAAACACTGTTGTGCTGTGTGTACGTTTTATTTTATTTGTTTTTTATCTTGTTTTGGAAATGAACATCCAAGGTTTTCTTCTTTAAATTTTGTTGGGGGGGGGAGAGAGTGGGCCCCTATGGTAGAGCTTGTTTAGCTTATACATAAATCTGGCACTGCCTGCGCCCGTTCCCCAGCCTGATCTTTCATTGATTCCTGAGGTCCCGGGTTTCCTCCTGCTTCCAGACCCGAAACATTTCTCACTCCTTTCCTCCTTCCCTTTCTCGGCTGCTTTCATGGCTTTCCTCCAATCTCTCTCTCTCTCTACCCCGCCCCAAAGAATATTAGGAAAATAAAATAAATTGTCCAGTAGCACATTAGAGGGCAACTAAGTATGTTTTGGGTATAAGCCAGGGGTCAGCAAACTTTTTCAGCTGGGGGCCAGTCCACTGTTCCTCAGACCTTGTGGAGGGCCGGACTATATTTGGTTTTTTTGGGGGGGGACGCGAATTCCTATGCACATTGCATGGGGGGGCAAGTAGTCCTCCTCCCATTTTAAATAAAAGGACACAGCATGCCAGGCAGGCCCCACAAAGATCCCACAGATGCAGTTTTTTATAAAGGACACAGCTTACCTGTGCGTTGCGAGCGGCAGGGGCTGCTGGTGGTGGAGGGATGATGAGCAGTGCATGAAAGAAGGGCTCTGGAGAAGGGCTGCTTAAAATGGCGGCCTCTCGAGCGCTCACACTGATCCAACAAAGCCCAGCCCCCTTCCTCCTCTAGGCAGGGCGGGGAGAAGCCAGTAGAATGGAAGAGGCACCGCCGCGGTGTGTGTAAGGGGGGGGGATGGCGCGGGGGGGGAATGGCACAACCCGAACAATGGGAATCCCCATGCCCTTTCCCAAACTGTCCGTGGGCCGGATCCAGAAGGCAATTGGGCCTGATCCAGACCGCAGACCTTAGTTTGCCAACCCATAGTATAAGCTTTAGTGTTCATGCAAAGGTAATACCCAGAACTTACTTAGTTGGTCTCTAAGAGAGCCAGTGTGGTGTAGTGGTTAAGAGCGGTAGTCATGTAATCTGGGTAACCGGGTTCGCGTCTCCGCTCCTCCACATGCAGCTGCTGGGTGACCTTGGGCCAGTCACATTTCTTTGAAGTCTCTCAGCCCCACTCACCTCACAGAGTGTTTGTTGTGGGGGAGGAAGGGAAAGGAGATTGTTAGCCGCTTTGAGACTCCTGAAGGGGAGTGAAAGGCGGGATATCAAATCCAAACTCTTCTTCTTCTTCTAAGGTGCTACTGGACATTTTATTTATTTATTCCAACTGCGTCAGACCAACACAGCTACCTACCTGAATCTAGGAAAAGAAAAGGCCGCCAGGTCATTTGGAGAGAAACTTTAATGTCCTTCCTATTGCCTTAGATCCCTTGAGGGAAGGGGCAAAACTCCCTGCTTTGACTCTTGTTCGCTTCCCCCTCTCCTTCTCTTATTTCACTAAATTTTCTCTTTTCTTCCCGCCCCAACTGAAAGTATCTGTCAATGTCTGGTTGTTGGCCCCCTCTGTTTTACCATTTATTTTTGGATGCAGGAAGGCTTTTGGAAGCACCTAAATTCCCCTTCTTTTCTGGATATATTTTTTAAAAAATAATTTCTGTGGTCCTTAATAATCAGTTCATTCCTTTTTCTTCCTTTTTTTCTTTTTTGTCAGAACCACAAGTTTAGGTGTGAGGATTTGCGTTTTCCCCTCTGGGTTTCCTTTTTTCAAACAAAAAACAAAAAAGGCACCTTTGGGAATAAGTCTTCTCTGTCCTGTCCAGTTATTGTATATATTTTTCCTGATTTCAACTATAAATTGGTGATTTTCTTGAGTCAAAATGAGAGAACCCCTAAATATTTTTTAAGAAAAAGAGCACTGCTTATATTATTTTAGAAATGTTATATCTTCAGTCCAAAATCCTCTCCCCCTTCCTCCTCTCCTCCTCCTTTCCCCAATCTCCCTCCCCATCCCACCCTCTCCCTTTCCTCCCCTCCCCATATCCCCCCCCCAATACATTGTAGAATTCTTGTTTGTACCTTCTGGCAGAATCAATCTAGCAGCTAAATTCTGCAGTGCTTGAACAAGTATCTGATGCTGACCAAACCCACAAGAAGCAAAACAAGTTTTCAATGTGATGGGTTCCTGCTATTTATATTCTTCCCCCCCCTCCTCCTCCTCCTCTTCCTCCCCCTCCCCCGCTTCCTCATTCTCACCTGCGAAGTCCTTGTCAGCCGTTTCTGGCTCCAGCCCCACTCAGCCTTTAATGTCACCCCCAGCCTGGATCTAGAGATGGTTTCAATTGCCATGGGTCTTCTGCCCTGCTTCAGAGAACAGTGCAACCCTATTAGAGGCTGAAGGCATTCTTGGGCACAAAGTGTAAAAGAATTTTTAGCATGATTTAAAATCAACCCCACAAACAAAGGGCAGGACCTCCCTGTGGGGAATGTGATCACCCTCAATGTGCAGAAGGAGAAACAGCTGCTGAAGTCCTGGTGCCATTTGGTAACTTGGCTATTGCTGAGTTTGAGACTAACAAATGACAACCTTACAGTACTTTAGAGAAAATGCTATGGGAACGAAGCAAAAAGAAAATGCCTGCAGAAAGTTGAAAAGAGCATTGGCTTCTATAATTTTATGGAGCCTCTTGAGGGAGGAATGCAAAAGACAATGAGATTTTAAAAATAATGAAATATCTTAATGTTCAGGAGGTAGCCATTGCAAGGTATCACAAAAGTTGGGTAGTGTTTAGGTGCCCAAAATCTGCTCCATAAAAAATGGCTAAGTAGCACCATGCAGTAAGAATTCACTATTTCTTTGAAAGTGACAAACCTAACCTACTCATGCATAGGAGAGTCCATGTTTCTGCCTCCCCAAACCTGGGAATCATAAGATTCACACACCACTTTATTGTAAAACCCTCACAGCAGTATACAAAAAGATAAAACAATAAAATCAGAAAAAATACAACCCTAATTTAAAACATACAAAAGTAAAAATATTAAAGCAGATTATAATTATGTACCTCAACTTTCTAAGCAACCATGTTTCTTTTGTTGTTGTTTAGTCGTTTAGTTGTTTCCGACTCTTCGTGACCCCCATGGACCAGAGCCCGCCAGGCACTCCTGTCTTTCACTGCCTCCCGCAGTTTGGTCAAACTCATGCTGGTAGCTTCGAGAACACTGTCCAACCATCTCGTCCTCTGTTGTCCCCTTCTCCTTGTGCCCTCCATCTTTCCCAACATCAGGGTCTTTTCCAGCGAGTCTTCTCTTCTCACGAGGTGGCCAAAGTATTGGAGCCTCAGCTTCAGGATCTGTCCTTCCAGTGAGCACTCAGGGCTGATTTCCTTCAGAATGGAGAGGTTTGATCTTCTTGCAGTCCATGGGACTCTCAAGAGTCTCCTCCAGCACCAGAATTCAAAAGCATCAATTCTTCGGCAAACAGCCTTCTTTATGGTCCAGCTCTCACTAATGTTTTTAGGTGGTGCCAAATTTCCTTATACAGACCTATTGTCAGCAGCTGCTACTAAATTTCCTGGATTTCTGGAATTGGAACTGATTTCCTGCAATTGTTATTGTAGTAGTTGATTTGAAGCCAACCAGGAAGCCAGAACTAAAAGGGGTGGGATTTCCTTCCCTGCCTCTCCTTTGTACTGAATTCCTGTCTGGTTCACCATGAGGACTGTTTATTAAACTGAGCTTCATAAGAATATAAGAACATCAGAATAGCCCGGCTGGATCAGGCCATGGGCATATGGAGTCCAGCACCCTGTTCTCACAGGGGCCACCCAGATGCCTGTGGGAAACTCACAAGAGCGCTCTGCCCGCCTGCAGTTTCCAGAAACTCAGAAGGAGGCAAAGCACAGACCTCATGGCTAGGAGCTCTCAATAGCCCTCTCCCCCACGAACCTTTCTCGCCCTCTTTTGAAGCCATCTAAGTGGGGAATCATCACTGTCTCCTGGGCGAAAGAGCGCCATACTTTAACCATGTGCTGGATGAAGACGAACTTTGTTTTCTCCTGAATTTTCCAACGTTCAGCTTCCATGGATGTTTCCGTGGAGTTCTGGTGTTATGAGAGAGGGAGAAAAACTTCTCTCTCCACTTTCTATGAGGCTCATTCTATCTTGCATAATTATTCTTTTTGCCTCTTTTCCAGCAGCCAGTTTCTGCAGTTTCTGATGTTGGCAAAGCCTTCAAGAAGCAGAACAGGATGAATGTTTTTTTTTAAATAATAAATTCTATTAGTTTTCAATTACACTCCAATAATACCCTCATTACAACAATACCAATTTATAATACAATTATTAATACTAATCGTTCAGATGTGAAATTGTATAATTTAGATAATGTGGGCCCCCGCGTGCTAGATTTGATGGTTTGATGATTTTCTTTATTTTTGCATTCCAAAATCTCATTAGTTTCAATTACATTCTGGTCATAATAATAATCCCTTATAATGTGATTTTGAATCATGTGAAACCAGCAGGACTTCAACATTTCAAGAGGGCAAATTGGAATACCCGACACCATCTCACCACCCCATTGCTCATGCCCACCAACACCCACCCCTCCCTTCCCTGCCCACTTCCTTGCTCCCTCCACCTTCAAACCTTTGCTGTCCTCCTCCTCGGTGGCTGCAACCTCCTCCTCCATGGCCATGGCCTCCTCCCCATCCCCGGCCAGCATGGCCTCCCAGAGGCACTTTGGCATGACCCTTTGATGACCCTTTGATGATTGCCAAAGCAATCCCAGAAGGTGGTCTGGTGCTCATCCGCAGGGTCAGATGCAGCCTTGCTGACTCATGCCAAGGTGCTAGTCTTCATGGGATATTCCGGGATCAAAACAGAAGCTGGGATTGGCTTCTGTGATCCACAATATCCAGCTTAAAATGTGTCAGTTGTGGGGTAAAAGGTAAAAGACCCCTGGACGGTTAAGTCCAATCAAAGGCGACTATGGGGTTGCGGTGCTCATCTCGCTTTCAGGCCAAGGGAGCTGGCGTTTGTCCATAGACAGCTTTCCGGGTCGTGTGGCCAGCAGGACTAAACCACTTCTGGTGCAGTGGGACACCATGACGGAAACCAGAGTGCACGGAAATGCCATTTACCTTCCCGTCGCAGAGGTACCTATTTATCTACCCATGCTGGTGTGCTTTCAAACTGCTAGGTTGGCAGGAGCTGGGATGGAGCGACAGGAGCTCACTCCATCGCAGGGATTTGAACTGCCGACCTTCCGATCAGCAAGTCCAAGAGGCTCAATGGTTTAGACCAGGCACATCCAACTCCCAAGGGACTGCGATCTACTCAAAGTATAAAAAGACTGGTTGTGATCTACCCATTGTCATTGCCAGTAGTTAAGTTGTTATGATTTGGGGGGGGGGGAGCCAAAGTTGTTGAGCTTCTTTTGGAAATGATTCGCCAGGTTGATTTTAGGAGAAGGAGTGTGTTAAATCAGTCGCTCAACAGTCAGCTCACCTCCTGCCTTCCCAAACTCTGCCACCCAAGCAAGGAAATAAATCTCTCAAAGCGGGGGCAGGGCACGTAGCAATCACTTAAGAGCAAGAGGGAGATCACTTACAAAACTACAGCCTGGGACACCCCCATGATCCACTGGTAGATTGCGATCGACCTCTTGGACATCCTTAGTTGAGAGCACAGAGCCATCCGCTCCCCTAGTTGTGGGGCATGCCTGACTAGCCCTCCGGGCTCTCCATAGGCTTTCTCCCCTTCTCCAACCCACACCACTGTTGCTCCACACCTTCCTCAAGTCTGGCTGGAATGTTGGAGTGCAGCTGTCAGTCAGTGCAGAAAATACTGAGGTAGACAGATCAATTTGCCTGGCTCTGTAAAAGTCAGCTTCCTGTTTTCCCGTGTATTGCAATCAGGAGGACAGAAAAGCAGCTGCCTTTGGGACTCCCTTGCAAACTTCCCAAGAGGCACCAGGCAGCCACTGACAAATGGTGCCCTTTGTAAGCCACCTCACGCTGCTCCTTTCAACTTCCATTTTTGAAAGTTTCAAGGGACTGTGGGGTCTGCTTCAGAGAACAGCCGTGGGGAGGAGAGGTGGCTTCCATAGGATACGAGATGTCTGTTCTTAAAACAGACAGAGGCAAGGCAGACACCATTTTGATTTGCTTATGCAGTGCTTGCTATGGCTAGCATGAGCCATAGGCAAGAGAGAAAGAGGGGAAGGGAAGTCGGGGCTTTTTTACTCTATGAAAAAAAGAGAGAGAAGTGCTTTTTCCCTGCCTGCTTTTTCTACAGGAAGTGGCTATGCGGATGTTTCCTATGTATTCAATATGAAGAGCCTTGTGGTTAGCTAGAGTGGTTAGAATGACGTGAAAAGAACGGTGTTTATCTGCATGTGTAAAACTCTGTGGAGGCACAACACAGGTTGCAACCCTAAATAACCCTTTTGTTTTGTTTGTCTTGTCTTGTTTGTCAGCTGTCATGATGCACCTTGAAATAAAATCTGAATCTATTTAAAATCTGAATCTATTTGAAAGCAGTGCTTTCTCATCATTGCTGGGACTGAGTGACTCCGTTGTGCTCAAACCTCTTGAACCTCATGCTCTCCCCTCCTTGAGTGGTTCTTACCTCTCCTCAGTTGATGGGCAAGATGGGAGCCTGACTTGCCCCAGGAAGGCAATAATCAGGACTCCACTTTAAGCTAGGGTTACCAGACGTCCTCGTTTCCCGGGGATTTGGAACATGTCCCGGGGCAAATTCCATCCCCAGAATGTCCCCGGATTTCATCTAACGTCCCCGGGAAACACAGCAGCAGCAGTCTCAGCAGCCCGGAGCAGTTGGCTCTGGCTGGCTTCAGGAGCTGCTCAGAAGTCCCCATATGATGGTGGTGCAGGGGCTCGAAGATGCAGCTTCCGGGCTGCCTCCACCTTCCCTGACCCCAGTAACTGAGCTATGAAGGGACGCTTCATGCTGCCCTTTGGAGCAGCCTCCCAACTCCTACTTGTGTGCAAGCAGGAGCAGGGCAGGGATCTCTCAGTTAGGCAACGGGAAGCCTCCCTTCCCAGCTGAGCGATCCGTGCCCCCTCCTGCTTGCACGCAAGTAGGAATGGGATTGGGGCTACTCCGACTCTTGTAGCAAGGATTCCATAGTTAATTAGAAGGCT